AAGGCGCACGGGGGCAACAACAACAAGTACAGCACGTTCTCGGGCTTCCTCCTGTACCCGGATTAGGGGCGCGGGGGGGCGAGGTGGGGGAGGGGCTCCGGGCCGCCCGGTCCCCGCGGGGGCGCGCGGCTCCCCGGCCCGGACCGCTCTCGATTCACGACGCTTCCTGACATCTCGGCTGGAAGAGACACCGCCCCGCTGTACCCCCTGCCCCGCTCCCGGCCTCCGCGTGTCCGCGACTCGCCACGCTCCGGGCCGCGCCCCCGCCCCCTGTCCCCAGCCCGGCGAGGGAGAGGGGGACGCCCGAGCCCTGGCGGCGCCCAGGCAGACTTTGCAGACCTGATTGGACCGGACAAGCCGGGCGGGGAGCCTGCCCCCTTCAGACCTCCCTCCTCCTCCTCCTCCTCCCAGTGCTCCAGGCGGAGGGCTCCGGGCCCTGGCCGGGGAGGTAGCCAAAGGGAGCACGGGCTCCCTGGGGCGTCCTTCTTCGTGACCCGAAATACTTGTGCGGATTCCCCTGATCATCAGCCAAAAACCCAGCCACAGCAGAATTCCAGCAGACGGAAAAGTCACCTCTCGACACCGCGCTCCCTCCCGACTCAGACCCACGCGATGCATTAAATTATGTTTTTAGACCATGGGCTCCGTTGTCTCTGTCACCATGGCCCCCGGACCAGGGCTCCAGTCGTCCATCTTGGCCTAAAGACCTTCATAGGCCTAGGAATGCCCCATGCGCCCTGCAGTCAGTCACTGCGATTGTCCCAGGGGTGGCTAAGAAGATATGGGGAGCAGGGAGCAAGCAGCATCCCACCCTTCTGGTTCTGGGTCTGCCCGGCGCTGCAGCCCGGAACAGGATGGGGGTGGGGGGATATCAGAGGAGGACAGGAGAGGAGTGATTTCGGCTCCAGCCCCGGGCAACCCCAACTCTGTCCTCCCAGGGTTGTGGGAGGAGGTCAGGGGAGGAGTTTCTGAGGAAGGAGGAAGCAGGCATCTCTGCAAAATGGGAGGCATGAGTGAGGCACCTGCGAGGTGCTTGCAAAAAGGAAGTGCAGAAGTCCCCAGCAGAAACACACCCACTCAGGCATATGGTACCCACAGCACATGTCCATTTACTCACACCCCCGCAGGTCCACATCTCTCAAAGGGACTGGCAGACTGAGGCGGTCCTGCGGCCCATCCAGCTCCCTGAATTCACCCAGAGCCGCGTGGTGAGCGAGACAGACATCCGTTTTGGGGAAGGGACACCCTTTTTCTGGGGTCTTTCCTTTCCTGCTGCACCGTGATGTGGGGCGTCTACTCTGAGCCCGGATGTGTGTGTTTGGTCTCCTTTCTACTTCCTTTCGGTATCGCACACACACAAGTTAGGAAAACTTCCCACGTGGCTTGATTATTTTTTCTTTTTACTTGTTATGATATCACTGAGTTCCGACAAGCTAAGTCAACTGCAAAATAACCAGTTAGCAATTTGTTAACATTTACTGAGCTCATTTGGGTCTGTTGTGTGAAGTATGTGTGAGCGTGCGTACAAAGGCAACCCTAGGGTGTGTGTGTCTGTGTAAAGCTGGATATATGTGTGTGTGCGTGTGTATATAGATTTCATATATGTCTCCTATGTGGATGTGATGTTGTGGGTGTCCTTCTCATGTAAGCCGTCTTACACACACACACACATGTGTTCGTAAGTCCACGTCAGTGGGGTGTGTGGCAATGTTCATGTCTGCATTTCTGCCCCTGAATCGCATTGTGCTGGACTTTAGTTCCCAGAGGAGGCTGAAAACTGTGATTTCCATTTGGAAGACAATTATACCCCCTGCCTTGAGTCCTCTTGCTGTCTCTATGCCTCTTTTTTGCTCTTATTTTATTTGAATCATGTTTTTATTATCATTCACTTGAATATGAGCAATGATTATGTCTGCTTTGAGTTCAGGGATAAAGTGCTCAGGGAGAGATAGGGGAAAATATTGGTATGTACAAATTACCATGGCTCTCCCTTAGCTCTGGACCCAAACTGAACCCTAATTCCCCACCCCACCCCACCCTTGCTGATTGTGGATCCCAAACCCAGCTGAGCCCAGGAACTGGGGACAGCTGAGTTGGGCTGTCTACAGTTGCACAGGTATCCATTTCTGATGCCTTGTTGATTGTGTCATCCAGAAATGCGATTAAACCCAAATGTCTGAGACCCAAATGAAGTCTAATTGCTATGGATCTGCAATTCCCAGTGGGCCCCTAATCCTTTTTGACTTATTCCTCCCCTTTCTCCGATAAGATGGAGCTTAGACACAAAGCCCTTGGTTTAAATTTCAAAAATTAAAATTGACATGCAGTGGTGGCTTTCCTGGGAGCGGGAGGAATTTCTAAGGAGGTGCCCGAGCCCAGCTTTATCCTCCGCATTAAGAAGCAATTTGTACTTCTAACAAAACCTCTGCCACTCCCCTTTGGCGGAAGGGCAGCGGAGATGCCTTGCCCGGGTCTGCCTGTTCACAATACTGAGACAAATTTGAATCTGAGATTCCTCCATCTGTATTCCCTGGTGCAGCCAGGGTTTCTTGCAATTCTAATGCCCGGGCTGCCGGAGGTGCTGCCAGAGGTGTCAGCTGTTAAGAGGATGATGGATTGATGAGGCGAGGAGGGGCGGAGGTGCGGCCAGTGGCAGGAACCAGCCAGCTCGGGAGCAATCTCTCTGCGGCTGCACACTCTCCAGGTTCCAGGCAGACCCCCGATGGCCTGCGCCTGAGGTCCACCACCCCATCTTTTCTCCAGAGGACTCCCTTGTTTGGAAGAGGGCAAGGCAGGTGGGAAGGCCAGGCTTCCTGTCGTCGCCACCACTGTGGTGCTGTCAGTCTTGGAGTGCATATGGAATGCAGGGAAACCTTTGCCTCAGAGACTTATCCTTGTCTGTAGTTGAGCAGGGAATTATTATCAACCATAATTGTATAGTATGGCTTTCATTTTCTAATTGCTTTTGGGTCCCTTTTCTAATTATGTGCTTAGGTTGGGATTATTACGCTAGCATCACCCCGGAAGTAGAAAAGGTATTATTCTGTTCATCTGGGAGATGGGAAGATTGGAGCTCAGAGAGGTCCACGACCTGCCCATGTTCATAAAGCTTGTAAGAGGTTGAGTTGGAGCCTGGATCTCCAGACTATGCCCCTGCCTGACTGCACCAATGGGACATGTCCACCTCTCAGGGTTCTCAGGCCTTTGAGAGGAGAGCAAGTAGGTGGGGCACACTTTCTACCCCTTTGTCTGATGTCTATAGAGGGTGTCAGTATCCTCCAGAGGGTCAGGTAAGAAAAGCCAGCTTCTTCTTTGGCCCAGGTCACCCCCAAAGAGCACCCCAGACAGAGATTCCCACTCTTAAGGAGTTTGGCTGAACAGCTTGGCCTTGGGGTCAGCATTGATGGCCTGGCGGGATCTCAGGTTACCAGCTCCAAGTGCTCCATTTGGACCTGTCTGTCTCCATTAGCAACTTCCTTCCTTCCAACCCCTTCCCCTTAGGCAGGGCCCTCTGACTCCTTTCTCCTAGCACCACTCTCCCGTCTTCCCTCTGGGTGGCATCAGGGAGAGAGCATCCTGCAGGTGCAGAGAGTTCAGATGAAATGAACACTGGCTGTCTCTGATTGGTGAGAGGGCCTTTCCCCATCCCCAGAATTGGCATCTATGTGGCTAATTATTTTCAGGACTGCCCGCGTGCATGAGAAGCACACCTGGCCCAGGAAATTCATATAGAAGTTATGTCTTCTGCTACATTTGTCTCCTGTCTGTGTGAGCAGATGGTTCTCTTGGGCACCCAAGACAAAACATCCAGGTCGCCCCTCTGCATCAGGCTATAATGACACTGGAGAGAGGCCACATTGCACAGACTGGCTGCTCCAGACTTCTCTCATCATGTGATCCTATTACTTAAACATTTTAAAAGCACTCACACCTAATATATGTAATGACCTATGAATAATTTATGTGTACCACTGTCAATCTATACTTTTATAACATTTCCATCTTTTTGTATTTATATTTGTCAAAGGATCTGCATAGTCAAGTCAGTATCTATATTCCAGCTGGCTAACCAAGTTTAGAATCAAGTTTCCTCTCATTGGAACACAAAGAAACAGGGGTTAATCCAAGGGATGTTTCTCTTCAACTTGCCATTTTTTCCCCCAGAATCTTAGGCATGAAGATGCATTCTTTTATGAGTCATAGGTAAGCCTGTGCACTTTCATTCTTGAAGTGCACAGTTTCATCCCATGTTTTAAGAATTAGTAATGCATGCTTTCCCCTCTTTTTTAGATTAAAAATAAAACGAAAGCCCTCATATTTCCTTCTCCCACCTGATTTTGGAGACTCTGATGCTGGCGTTGGTGCTAACTCATAGATGGGTCAGGCAGGATGGGATCTCTCCTGGGGCCCATTTGAATACCAGGGCGGACAGGCAGATGGAAGTGAGGAATTTCGGAGGAATGTCATGGTCTCCTGTTATTGCCATATTCTAATTCCCCTCCATGAAGGTGAGCACTCCCTGAAGGAGCACTGATCATAACAGCTATCGCAGTAAATAATATGAACAGCAGTTTTATTTGTTTTAAAGAAAATGATCGTAATGATTTCAAAAATATGTACAAGTACATGGAATAGTGTGACGAGCCATATGGGCCTGTCATCAGCTCAACATTGACAGGCCACACGCACACTTTTGATTTATTAAGACCTTATGATGTGTAAGGCATTTGTGCTAGGGCACAACTGTGTCTTCACAACACCCCTGTGAAATAGGTATTACTATCAACCCCACTTCACAGATGAGGAAACAGAGGTTCAGAGAGAAGCGGCTTCCCCAAGATAAGGGCCGGGATGGGGGGCAGCCATCAAGGTCTGTGTGATCCCAGGGGTTAGACTCTTTTAGGAATGTAGGCAGAGCAGGAAGGTGAGCATATTTCTATAAGTAGGTTGTCCTGTCAAGCAGTCTAAAGGTAAAGCCAGCATCCAAGTTTTTTTCTGGAGTCCTTGATAGTAAGTGTTTGTCCTCTCCGAACATTGTAATCAGTTGTTTCCCAGGTTGTCTCACCCTCTATTTCTTACTGTTCCAGGTACTAGTCATATTGTTCCCTCTGCCTGGAATCGTCTCTGGATTAGTGCCTTCAGAGCTCAGCTGGCACATGACTTAGAGGCTTCCCAACCCTTGTACCCTGGTACTTCATGGGTTTCTCTTCTCCCTGTCCCGGGAGCCCATAGAACCCTACCGAGAGCTTCCCTGCATGGCATCTGCCACACTATTGTAATTATGTGTTCAATTGTCTGTCTTCCCTATGGGCTGTAGGCATCACAATGACAGACCCAGTGTCTGTGTGGGTCACTATGGAATACCTTCCAGCTGCCAGCCCTTCGTATGGTGCCTGGCACACAGTAGGTGTTCCATAAATGTTTGCAGGATGGATGGATGGATGGATGGATGGGTGAGTGGGTGGGGCATCCTGGGAGGATCCTGAGAAAGTAAATCTTGGAAAGATTTGAATGCAAGTATGTGACTTCACAAGGGGTTCAGAGGGGCTCTTCCCAGCAAGCTGAATTGCTGCTTTTTAACTAATGGGTCTCCACCTTCTCCCTATCCTCACCCCTCTACCCTGAGTTTGCAAGGTTTGGGT